ACCTCCAACTTGCAAAGGTTTTTGAACAAACTCTGGGCAATTTTCTTTAGCTATGATTGTTGTAATGGATTTGATTTTTTTATACTTTCTGGATTACCCAACATTGTTGGTCATACTTAGTTCCTCTTTGGAAAAGAAATTTAATGGATGGGCTATTACTGATTTACAACACCTTGTTTCTGCTTGTGTGATAAATACATATAAAACCCAACACCAGCACTGATGGCAGTGTATGAACAGGAACTGAGAAGCACAGTGTTGCAGCAAATAAATTTGAACTCTCCTTGTCGTGCAGACTGGCACATTTTGTGCAAATTCTGGAGCAGTGCTGGCATGGCTCATCCCAAGGCATTCTTTGGGTCACACCAGGTGACTGCAATGGAGCCCAGCAGGCTCAGCAGAGTTGCGTCAAGGGAAAACAATGCTTGTCTCTAGTTGCCTTCTTCACCTCTGGTCCAGATGTCTCCTTGCCCAATTTAAGCTAATTACAGTTTTACAGATGACTGCAGCCCTGTTTGACTTCTGTTCACATTACCATGGGGAATACTGCTGCTGTTCCTGGAGTCATCCCACAGGGATGGATGCTGGTCCACAGAGCCAGTCCCATTTCTGACACCAGGTATGGCCTGGGGAGCCCCTGCCCTTGAGGGAGCAGGCAGCTGCCTCATGTGTGGGCAGAGGCACCAGTGCTCCCTGGTAAGCAATGCCAGGAGGGAACAGAGGGGTCACACGCACAGCACAGGCCGTGTCTCCTCTTTGTGCAGCCCTTTTCCCTTTTCCCTACTTCACGGAGCATTCACACATGCGAAGTGCTCCTTTTGGCAGAGCAGACAGGATGCATTGCTGCCTCCTCACCCTGTGTGCCTGCTCACTCCTGCACACTTCTCAGGACTTCTGTTCCAAACTAGCAGGGCTGCCAGCTCGGGAGGGAAGGGATGGCGCAGAGCTCGCCATGTAGGCTGGGGACGTGTAGGCGCTTGATCCTGTTTCGCTGTCACCTCTGCTTCACAGGAAGAGACTGTGGGAAGGGCAGTGACTCACTTGCTGATGAATAAATGATTCGAGCATGTCTCCAGGAGTGGGACAGATTCATTTTGTCACCCCCAGTGTCTGCAGTGCCCACTGCCATGGTGCCGAGACATGCAGATACCACGCTGCTGGCATCGGAGCTGGCTGCCTTTCAACTTCTTCTGGGTGAGAAGAGGATGGAAAGCGGGGGCAGAGCAGAGACTGCTGCTGGTTCTCAGAGAAATACCCTTGGGTTCTGCAAAGACACCCGTGGGATGGTGTTTAGACTATTGCCTTGGGATAGAAGGGAGGTGCAAATGTCTTCAGATGCTAAGAGTGATGAACCGATGCTCAAGTGGGGGGAAACCCAATCTCCTGGCAGGACACTGAGTTTCTCCCCCAAGCTGCAGCCTGGTCAGCCTTTCCCCAGACTGCTGGCCCTTTGGGTGCTGGCAGGGCAGAGCTGGATGCTGCTGTGGGTTGGGGACCAATGTGGCCCCTTTCTGCCAGAAGGCCCTTACTCAGGGTTGGCCCTGACCTAAAGCCACAGGACCATGATTTACCTGCAGGCAGCTGCCTGGGGAGGCTGCTGTCCCCCCTCTCCTCAGCACTTTAATGGGGATTTGGGGCAGGATGGGGATCTAGTGGAAAATGAGCAACTGTAGTTTTGCTAAATATGTTTTCTGAGCAGTTTGTGGCTCACTGTTACTGCAAAAGCAAAGGTTTGCTAGAGACGGCTTGTTTTACAAAGCATTTTCACAAGTAGCTGAGCTGTTAATGTCACTGTTACCTGAGCAAATTTAATTGTGCTGTTTCTTGCTCTCAGTTTAGCATGACGTGCTGAGAATGAAAATCACATACCTTTTTGCCAGGAAAAAAATGCCATGTTCTGGAGCCGTTTTGAATGTTTCCTCCAGGGATACGTTCACATATTGTTCTGAGCTGCTTTTGCTGCCAAGGTTTGCTGTGGCATTTATTAAATAATGCCTTCAATACCATTCATCTTTTATCATCACCATGGGTTTAGTTGAAACAATGTGTCCCTCTTGCCTACCAATCACATTATTATGGCATATAGTGCGCAGATGTGCTCTTGGAGCTTTTGGAATTAAATCCATGCATAGACTTAGGTCTCATTTTCTCCAAAGGATGCACACTTTTATTCACCAACTTCTTTGTGGAGGAGGACTGAAAAAAGAAGCACTTTCCAGCTTTTTGGAAGTCCTAATGAATGCATTCATACTGATCCTCTTTGTCCCTCTTGTTCCTGGTGCCCATGTGCATCTTTTTATTTATAGGGATAAAAGAAGGGAGTGGAAGTGATCAAAGGATGGATCATGGGTGCTGCCCTGCAAACCTTCATGGGCACCACTTCAAGTCCACATATATTCCATGGTCCCCCATAGTCCCCACAGGTGCACAAGTGATGTGACGTACTTGCTCAAGACCCTATAAGATCATTCTGGATCACTTCAGACTTGATTTATTCAATTCAGTACCATTTTGCAGAAAAGAAAAAAATCAGTATCTAGCATGCAAGTCAGCCCTGTGCACTGAGCTGGGGGGGTTAGCTATGGACATAAATCCCTAAAAGCAGCATGTTGACAGAAATGCTGACAAATCCATAGCTACACTGGCATTACCAGCTATGGCCACAGTGCTCCGTGCTCCAATACCACAGCCATGACTCCTCTCTTGCTGTGATCAAAGCACTGGGGTTTCAAAGTGAAATTCTTTCAGTCAGACCAAGTAGTCTTTGAATACATTAACGTTAAACCTCCCTAAAAATACTGGCAGCTGCTGTCTGGACTGCCCACATCATAGAGAGATCACAAGCCACAGCGATACTGATTTATAGAAATTGATTTCTTTATCTCATTACCGGGACTTCCAGTAAATCTGTGCATTATTAACTCTTTAAAGACAGACAACTGTATTTTTTTCAGTTTAAACAAATAAATTTCTGCAGCTGGACAGTCAGGGGAGACTATAACTACTGAGGGATTCGCTTATTAGCCCATGATAAGTTATTTTAACAAGGGTATTTAATGTCAAAAAGGTGTCCCAGCATTTTTCAAGTTAATATTAATCTAAACTGATAGAGTCGGTTATCACAGAGCCAACCTACTACTTCAGTTCCTCTTATTTCATCCATCAGCCCTTGTACTTTGCTGACTGTGCATGGCACCAGCAGCTGCACCAAACCTGCCAGATCATGTTGGTGTGGGAAGGCATCTGCTGAAGCCTGAGCTCAAATCCAGATTAAATCCTCTTGACCCTTGCAGGTGGTTTTTCTTGAGTGTCCCATCAACCTGGGGTAAATCAGCCTCAGGGTGCTGGGGTCATTTCCTACCCACTCTTCCTTCCACAGCCCAGTGCTGGTGGCACAGGACAAGTCACGGTCATGGAGAGTCAGAAGAAAAATCTGATGGTGGTTCAGAAAGGTTTTTTCGAGCCTTTTTACATTTAGGCATCTCTCAGAAAACAAGCTGTGGCTTCCCCTGCAGAGGAAACAGCCTCAAGGCAGCAGACACTGAGCTCAGCTGGCCAGGGGCTGCAAACCTCTCCCTGCAGTGCCTCAGCATTACCAGCAGTGCCTCGGGGTGTTTATCTAACCTGCTCTTAAAGATTTCCAGCGACAGAAACTCCAACACCTTTCCAGGCAACCTGTCCCTGCACCTGTCTGCTCTCACTGTTTGTTAGAAAGGTTTTCCTATCATTACCCTGAACTCTTTCAGCTATAATTTAAGCCCCTTATCTCCCTGTGAACGCACAGAACAAATTACTCGCCTCCTCTTTGCAGCAGCCTCTTATGTATTTGAAAACTGCTCTCTCTCCTTCTCCTCTTTAGGCTAATGCCAGTGCTCCTGGTGTTTACCCTGGTCATGCTTCTGATGTCCAGGAGTGTTGGTGCTCCAGTAGCTACTCTGCTGAGTAACACCCATTAAATTTTGCTGGTGAACCAGGTGGTGAGGACACTTGATAGAGGTGCAATTTTCCACACCAACCAGAAAATTGCAGTAGCACATTTTCCAGAGCAGGCTTGTTGCCTGTCTAGCAAATTAAGTGGGCTTCAGAAAACAGGTGGGTTCAGTGGTTTCTGAGTGGTTTTTCAAGGGTATTTTTCAGCCTGGGAGGTAGAGAGATCTGTTGAACACCTGAGATCAGCCCCAGCTGAGCTTCAGTTACAAAAGAAACCCCTAAGCAGGGGAAATCACTGTCCAGTGACACTGATCTTCAGATGGCCTCTCATGATTAAAATTGCTGCTGTTAAACCCCCCAAAGCTGTAAGATTTCTTGGAGAAATTGCAACTCATTCTCTGCGTACTTTAAACTGCAGCATTTAATGTCCTAGCACTGTAGTTAAGAATTCAACAATAGAATTAAACCACTAAAGGGCTCTGTGCTGCCATTTGGCAGGAGGTACCAGCCACAGGAAGGCAGCCGAGCCTCTGCGCCCTTTTCTCAGCTTTAAATAACTGCATTGCTGAAGGGCATGGCCTGGGAGAGGGCAGCTCTCAGCCCCAGCACCAGCCCCCTCTGCCCTCCCACTGGCCAAGACCCCTTCTGCCCAGGGTATCCTTGGGGAAGAGATTTCTGCTCTCGAAGGACCAGATTTTGTCTTCAGTTCCAGTCTATGTGAAGTGCTCAGCATTTGGGGTGCTGAAGTCTGAATGTGCAGTAAATTCTCCCCTGCTCCCCCGTGCCCATCCTGGCTCAGAGAGAGCAGGTGTGGGGGCACTGCCCATTGTGCCCAGCTCCCCTCTGCAGACATCACTCAGAAAAGATGAGTAAGAACTGATCTGTGCTGCTGCTGCTGCTCTTGTCTTTGTTTGGTTTGATTGCAGTGGACAAAAAAAAGTTTGGTTTTTTTCTGACATCCAAGCAGCAGTAGGTGCTTAAATGGCAAAAAACGAACCCCCAGCTGCTGCTTCTTGAAAACTGTTGCATACGTCTTTCCTGCGCTGATTAAACAGATCTGCTGCTCTGTATTAAACAGGGAAATTAAAGCACTGTATTTGCAATTGTGTTACCAAATTACAATTCATAAATATTTGAGAAAATAAGAGGATTTACATATAACATTAGTGAGAGTGCAGTTGCTATCAAAAACTAGAGTACCATGATATTAGTAACGGTTACTTCATAGCGGTATCCTAAAATGACAGCACATTGAATCCACTTCCTCTGTCAAGATACATTTTTATTAAGGGTCAGTATAAACTTCAAAAAAACCCTTGAATCATTTTTGTCACTATCTACCCAAAATAGCAACAGTCTCTACATTGAATGTAGCTGAATTTTTAAGTAGTCAGCTTCCAGGCACAACACAAATACCTGCCATTTATAAGGCCATCAGGTAATTTAAATTCATGAGAGTAGCTATAAACATGTATTGATGTTCTCAGCAGGAAAATGCAGCTCTGCATTATAGGACTAGATCCTGGAAAATACTATCTACAATATTTTGGCTCTTTCTTTCATTGTAAATGTAGAAGTATGAAAAACATTTAGCATCTAAAAGTTCTCTATACTTATAATCTTTTCCTAAAAAGTAAACTCTTCAGTTATTACTGCAGTAGTGCTTATTTCAAGCATGATACTAATTTTCCCAATCAGCATTATCAAGCGCATTCATAAGTGCACACTTTCTAACATAATGATAAATGGAGCATCCATGTAGTTATTTGAGAGTGAGCAGCACTAGAAAAGCAAAATGTTAAAGAATTTTCTGGACAATGGAGGTAGGAGTGAAAGATTCCAGATTATGCTAAGTTTTCTGGTCTGCCTCTGTCACCACAGATTTGGTTCTACTTTTATCTGACAAAAAAGATTTTCAGTTATTTTTTCACTCCTTAAACTTTGTTGTGATAGCATTACCTACTATGTAGTAATGATCTAAAGAGTGTATGTTTCAATCCAGCATTTTAACTGTCTTCAGATGTGGTGAAAGCATGACATGGTTGAGCCAAAAATACCTATTAATGCAAGCATAATTTGGAGTATGATTTCTTATGCAAAAATAAGAATTTGTAGCTCCTATATAGAAAATCAACAGGATTATTTTACTTTACAAGACATTTTGGACTATCACACACACACACAATCACACTTCTTTCATTTTGAAAGGGACAGTCTTCCACAACGTGCAAAATTAGGCAGACAGTTCCAGTCAGTAAGTCTGTTATGCTGAACTGGTTAGCTGTCCCATTCTCCATTATTCCGATCGTTGTCCTCCTCTTCTTCAGAATCAGCAGACACTTTCTTAATTCTCTGCATGGCTGCTTTAATGCTTCTCTCTAGGTCATTAGGGGATCCTTTACTGACATCTTTTTCAGTATCTCGATTCACTTTCCTTAGTTTAACTCCTTGCCTTATGGCAGAGAGGATGTTGTCTTTCACAGAAGCATAGGGGTTTGGCTGTTCCACTTTGCGAAGATGAACTTCACTGCGTTTTAGAGAAGCCAAAACTTCATCCATGGAACCTGCAACAGATGAATCTATTGTTACCAGAAGAAAGAACAAGACAACCACACTTAGTGGTATAAAGCCCTACCCAAGTGCTCAGGGCTCTCCCTTTAATCTGTACTAAAGACAGGAAAAAGAATGGTCTCTTCCAGAACAGACTCTTTCAAGTTTCTGCAACAGCAGGTTCTGGAACTGCTTTTGAAAAGCAGTGAAGCTTTTATATCTTGAATTGAGAATCCAACACTTCTTCAACACTTTACAAAGTGGTCCTCTAAGGAAGATATTATACACAAAGGATGATGCTCTTTTTCATTACAACTTTATGGGCTTTCAAAAAAATTTCACTGAACCAAAAAATCTCCTGCATTCTTCCGTTATAAACAATCTTCCATCCCTCCTAGCTTGCTCAGAAGCCTGCTGAGACCATCAATTGCATTTTTGCTCAGCCAAGAGAAAAATAAAAGGATTTGAGTAGAAGGGCTTGAAAGTGCACCATTGAAATCAGTGGGAGCCAGCTCAGGCCCTACACAGGCAGGTCTTTTCTGTACAGACTTAAAAAACAATTCCCATTTTACAACATGATTTAAATCTCAGGTGTATGTTTCTGAACTTCAGACCATGAAGGGCACCATACTGAGAGAGCTTCCACTAGTCCTCCTGATACACACTAATTTGTGTTTTACTCCTTCTGTTGGATTCTTTGCTGCTTGCTGCAGACTGTCAGACAGGGAGGCCGTGTCCCTGGACAGCAGTTGACTCCTACAGCAATAGGTCCAGACCATCTGTGCCTCACAGCCAGAAGTATTTTTGCCATGCGCAGTGCACACAGGGTTATGTGATTAACATCAAGCACTTGAAATGCAACATTTTGCTAAATCCTGTGGTACCTTCAGAGACTGAAAAGGATCAAGCAAAGATCCACCAGGTCCTCTTACAAAGCCTACAAGTAAGAAAGCCTTAAGTCTATTAATGAAATGGGTTGCCTGGTAAAATACTAGTCATGCTAATAAATCATAAAAAAAGCCTCTCCTGGCTCTTCACATACAAAGACACGAGTAGTCCATAACAAAACCAAACATGTTTACGAAGCTGTTTCAGGAAGTTCCTGTGGCACTAATTTAGCAATTACTATTACAGCTATTAACATGATGGTTTTCTTCAAGAAACTGGTGTAAACAACCAATTAGATCTCTCCATTAAACAAAAAATAATTTTTCTTATTCAAAAATAATGAAAATACATCAATGTTAGGTTGTGAATGGCAGCAAGGCTGTTCCAACAACAATCAGACTACTCTGGTGTACAACTCCTGCTGCTAATTAAAGCTTCTTAAGAGTATCCGTGGTAGAGTTATCCCACGGACATCCCAGACCGAAGTCTGCACTGGATGCACAGTAGTTTGTCATGGGAACTCGACTGCGTATCAGCCCATCAGCTGCTTGTACGTCCCCACAGCTTGGAAGAACTGAAAATGCTGAACTTTCCTTGGTATTTCTGCCTGTGGTTTGCCTCTTAACTGAGAGAATACAAAGGTTGCTTAGATGTATTGTGAAGAGTCTGAAAGGGAAAGGAATGTACCACGTTTAAACACATTCTTCATTCTAGCATAAGCTCCACTGTGAAAAACGACAGAAAAAATTGCTGCCTTCCAACTTAGATCAATCTCCCTGACACAGTCAAAATATCCGCTCGCTTTAGAGATAAAAATAAGCCTGTTAGCAGGATGTAACCGGTGCAGCCTTGGGAGGCTGCTGAGCTCTATTCTCATTCAAACTACTGTTTCAATTGCCGAGTTCAGCCTTCAATTACACCTGCATGATCTTGCTAACAAAGCAAAGGTGTAACAGAGCAGAATTTCTCCCCTAGGAATGTATGCCAAAACTATTCACCTGCCTTTCAAATCCTGGTTGAATCCTACGCGAATTCTTTTACGAAACCTTTATTTAGAAACCAAGCAAATTGTAAGTGGACACGGCTGTGCACACCTTAGAAATGCAAGCAGCCCAACTGCTAGATCTGTAGTACATAAATCAGAAACACTAAATTGCAGCCTTAATACAACTACAAATTTACCCAGTGGTCTTCACACTGGACAGGTGATTAATCCTCAATCAAAATACCGCATTCAGTCAAAGTTCCAAAATTGTGGCAAGAACAAACCCAGCAATAAAAGTTGCTTCTCACCAAACAAAAAGAATAAACCTCCTTTCCTTGGAATTTCTTCTGACACCTTCCTACCAATTGCAGCTGTGGAATGTTCAGTCTCATGAGAAATGCAGGTCCTGAATTAAGATCTCTACAGAACTATTAGTGCTGTGATTAAGCATGGTTTAAATTAATTTCTAAGGCCATACTTAATAAATATGCAGAGATTCAAGTTCAACTGTGCTAAAAGATTGACCTGTCCCCTTTGACAGCACTTCACAAAACACGCCAAGCCACACACTCCAAGTCCAAGCATCATGAAGTGAAATCATTGTTACTCATTTAACATCCTGAATTATGGTCAGTGTTATTGTATGTGGTTTTTTAGACCAAGCTTTCCAAGAGCCTCATTCTCTCGATCAAAACTACACACTATTCCTGTCCAGAACCAGAGGGAGGGGGAACACAAAAATATAGGAAGTGAAAAAAGCACCAGCCAGTGTGAGTCCACTTACCTATGCAATTATTTATAGACGTCCTGGGTGAGTCATCCTGTTTGTGCAGTGCAGGGCTTTCTGAGGGGCTATTGGAGCTGAGGGGAAGTGGTGTATCCTCTGTTGCTGGTGATGTCTTTAACTGGAGAGGTAAGGGGGGAGGTGGGGGAGGAGGGGGCAAGAGAGGAGGGGGCAAGGGAGGAGGGGGTGGAGGAGGAGGTGGTGGTGGTGAGGATGGAGAGACCAACAGTTCCTTGCTGTGCTTTTGTTGCTCTGTGTCACCACCAGTAAGCTCTGTGTCACCATCACTAACAAAAATCTGGACAGGGATATCTGCTGGGGTGTTCTGACACAAAGCTTTTGATTCTTTGGCTTCAATCAGCAGTATGCTCTGTGGCTGCTCTGGAGCTGCCCTTGCTCGTGGTGAGGGTGCAGGGGACAGTACTGCTGGGGATGAAGGTGGAGGGGACAGGACTACAGCCTGCTGGGTGATGTTTCGTGGCAACTTGGGACTGAGAGGCTGGGGACGAGATGTTTTCAGAACAACATGAGCTGGACACTTCTGAAAAACAAATCAGAAGGCAGGAGGTCATATGTCCATTGGACTGGCCAAAACATCAATCCCAAAGAGGTAAAAAGTCAGAGAGTACAGACCTGTCCCACTCACCCATTCAAGCAGAAAATTCAACCTTGAATAAATTTAAATGAATATCAAAGTATTTCTTTCAAAGTCATTTTCTCACCTGTATTCTTTGCAACAGGTTCCACACCTGGAAATTATATTCTTAGTGGATTTAATCCTCTTGACTCATAACACATAAACCTATTTTAGGCTATCCAAAACATTGTCTCTGATTTGGACTGTGCTCACACGTGAGCTATGACTACTTTCTGACGTTGTGTTTTCACATCATTTAGGACTACTGGAGTTCACAGTACTTGCCTCCCTGAATGCTTTCAGCCTCTCCAGTGTTTTCTGACGTTCCTGGCTTATCCAAGCCTTTTTCTTTTTCTCCTCCTCTTTTTGCTTGTCTCTCTTCTGCATTAAAACACAAGTAAGTGAGCCTTACTCTGTGAAAACAAGCAGCTGGGAGATTCTTCAAGGCTGCAATTCAGTACTCACTATCTGTATGCTGTGATGCTGCTGGAAGCGTTTTTTGCTCTCTTCTGCCTGTTGCAGTCTCTGCCGGTGGCTTGCTTCACACTGATCCTGGGAGAAGAACAAAATTCAGGCAACTCTCAGTCAGTTCACATTCACTGTGTACCATCTGTGCCATTAACTCCTGTGCACAGGCCACTAAATAGCAACCATGGTTGCTATTTAGCAGTGCCAAGAAAGATGGCTAAGCTCAACTAGTGTCAGATGTGAGACCCTGATGGTGAAGTCTGTGGGAGTCCTTCATGGCTAAAGCCAGCGGGACCTTTTGTTTTCCTAAGCAGTCATATTTTTATTCATGCTGCAGAGAAAATATACCCAGACCTGAATTGACCACTCTGTCTTATACTTTTGCTAAAAAAATAATAGAAGAAATGGAAAAAAAAAAAAAAAAAAAAGAAGAAAGAAGCTCTGAAGAAATGTCACCCAAGTACCAGCTGGAGAGAAGGAATGCAAAGACATGAGGAAGAAGGCAAGAAGGAAGCTAGCAGGGCATTACAAAAATACAAGGCTTCTTTCCCCCTGTTTCTTATTTGCCATAGGTCCCAAGTAAAAATGCCAGGGAAACAAAGGTATGGGAAAGCACAATGAATGCCTAGCAGGGGTACTTTCTGTTAGTAAGAAGTGCCACAGAAAAGCTGCAGGCTTCAATATTTTCTCTGGGAGTCGCTATTTGTCTCTGTACAGAGGGGGATTATCCACACGGCTGGACAAGCATTTGCAAATCATCTGGCATTTGGCTTTAGTGTTACATAACCCATAGACAGCAATTAAGGAAATGAAAACAGAAGCAAAAGAAGTGTTTGCCAAGGAAGCAGTTGCAAGCAAGAGACAATGATGGCTAACAAAACATTTCCAATGTCATTCCCATTTTGTCCAGGCTAGTGACGGGTAAAAGGTCATACAGACTGGGACCTAATTTCTGCTCTCTGCTCCAGCAGGACTGCAGGTGTAAGGCAAGCTCAGCCTACTGGGAAGGTTCATGAGAGTCAATTTGTGTCTTCCTAGTTCTGCTCTGGATAGGAAACAAAAGAAAAACTGCCCTTTGCACAGAACTGAGAGGCTGGAGAGAGAATTGCAGCAGTTAAGTTTTCCCCTTCCCTCTGTCCAGAGGTAAAAGTATCAGCGTGTGGGCTGTTCAACCACTGCAGCTTCCTTCATGGAAGGCCAGGCTTCCTCCTGTACTGCAGATATTTTGAAAAGGTTGCTAAGGCAAAGCTCCAGCTGGCCTCAACAGGGCTCTGGTAAGGCTTAGCTGATGGGGGAACACCTGGGTCTCCCAGGTAAGTTTGTGTTCTAAGCCACATGCACTTGCACCACACCGCGGAGTATAAAGCTGGCTTAGAATCACATTGCCCCTCTCTCTGTTTGTGGACCTTGGCACTGAGTTTGAATCATCCTGTATGTTCCACCCAAAGCTTCCCTAATTGCTTCCTGTCCATCCCTCGTGAGTCAAGATATCAGCTAAAGAAAATGCACATCTCCAGGACTGCATTTACTTTTTTGTTCCTGAGGTAGGCTCTCCTCGCACAGACAGTCCCACGCTTTGTCTCCAACTGCTTAGTCTTCTGCCTCAGCATCGTCATTTCTGACAAGTTAGCGTAATGTTGTCCCATTGTCTGTTCAATGACCTTGAGCTCCTCAGGATTTTCACATGTATCATAGTAAACAACTTCATCCTGTTTCTCTAAAAAGGCATTTGGCATTTTTTAAAAAACCAAAAATTGCCACAGTTATTTAAACATTTAAAGAGCTAATGACATTTCAAAAGCCACTGAAGGCAGTGAGTTAGTTATGAGGAAGTGTAATGCTCCAGAGCCGAGCTTAGTCCTTCACAGTCTTATGCAAACATGTCATGTTACTCACAGGGGTGCTTTGCAGGATCAAGTTTATGCTGTTAGCATTTGTTATTTAGCTTCCTCTTTCAAATGTCTCTCTGTGTTTTAACTCCTACCTTCACCAAATGGAGTTTTCCTGGAAAACCAAGGACTGTTCTGATCAACACCGGGTGTCTTATTTTACTATTTACCACATTTTAATTATGCAATAAGCAGCAGCAATGTTTACTTCACAGTGCACATGGTAACAGAATTCATAAGCTCAAAGAACAAGAAGACTGGTGCCTAATTTGCTCATAAATATGTCACGATGAGACACTTAAACTGGAATATAGCAGCATTCAGGTACCATTCTAGCCAAATCACCTCTTTTTGTCATTATAGGATGTATTTTGTAACTTGTACACGTTATATTAGACTAGATTATGATGAATTACAGGACCTATTTCAGCAGGTTCACGATATCCAGTTTCTATGCATAGATCTTGTAACTGTGAGAGCAGTTAAGCACTGTCAATATAAGTTATTCCACATGCTAAACCAGTGCATGCACATATCACAGCTGCTGGCAAGATAAGCAAGCACTGTGGTGTTTTTTTAAACTTGTGCCATCAAATTAGTGTCTAATTAGTTAGAGGACAAAATATCAGATGGTGCCATGGTGCCATGAATGTTTTCCAAAGATGCTTTCTACTATTGAGACCCAAGCAGTGATATCCTTTCTTTAAAAGTGAAAACAGAGCAGGCTATATCGCTCCTGTGTTCTGAATATGTGCTTAAATAATTGTTTATTCTCACCTTTTATCTGCCTCTTTATAGTGTCCAACTGTACAATAAGCAGCATCTCTTCATGTTTCAATACTTCAAGCTGTACATTATATAACTCCAGCTGCGTTTCATAATACTGTATTTCCAGCTCCTCCACTACACTTAAGTTCTCTTCTTGTTCACCAAGACTCTCCATCTGTATAGCCCCAAACAAAAAATAAAAGAACAAAATATGCACACATGAAACATGCCTGGATGCACAAGTACCTGTAAAGAGCCTGGCCTAACCGGCAGCTGCTTAGATGCTTTGGTGTGGAAACAACAGAGCATTAGAAATGGCTTGGAGCAGAAACTCAGAGCAGCAGAGAGCCTTATTAACCTAAAGTGTAAGTTTATCTCCAGTCTACCAGGAAAGACTTCATTATAAACCACACAAATGATACTACTCCTGAAAACAATTACATATGGTGCAGTACACTACTCTTGGAAAATAAATATCAGGTACTCCTAGAGGCAGTTAGAGGGCAAATCAAGAAGATCAGAAGACTAATATTAAATATTTTCATTTTTCAGTGTCCTCTGAAAATAATATCTGGGTTTATCTCCCTAAAACTAACAATTTCAAAGGTTAATATCACAAATGCTAACATGACATTTGAACTGTAAAAGTATGTACCTTAAACTTTGCTAAGTGTCCCCAAAAATGCAGGAGCAATTGAAAAGACCCTGAAGACATGTGTTTTTCCACAACTTAAAACCATGCTGAAAACCAAAACTGTTTCATAGACAAAGACTTCGAAAGTCTACTCCCATGACCACTTTGGTAGGTTTTGATGAGCCCTTCACAAAACAGTGACAGAAAAGGAGGCTTTGCAAGGTCTTACGAGTTTCTGAATGCCAGTTCTCTTCTGTTTCAGGCACAACTCTCTTGCCCTCAGATGCTGAAGGGTTTCTTTTGCTAACATACATTTCAGGTTTTCTAGTCGTGGCAAAGCTGATGCCCAGGCGGTTTTGCCAAATCTTTCCTCATCTTGTTCCATCTGTTTGTGCATTGCTGTGGATTAAAACATTGCAGTAAGACATGAGAAATGCAGTGTACTAATAGCCCTTGTGCGTTTCTGCAGTACTAAAAATGCTGATCCAATTAAACAATTTTGGAAGCTTCTTTAGAAATTACAGGATTAAAAGGCTGAATTTGTGATCTTATATATGTAAGTAAAATACTTCGTTGTACCACGGGAAACATGCCTTAACAGTTGCACGGAAACCTACTCAGCTCACATGCTGAAATCCTTGAGGCTTGCATATTAAGTGTTAAAACTTCCACGGGTTTTGTGCAGAGCTTTGCAGCCATGGGTCTCATGCTTTGATAATATTTATGTGCAAGACAAATGCAAGTTGTAACCCAAATTAGCTGAAAGATATAAATCTTAAGTGAATAAAAGGCTTCTTTCTTAAGCTGGACACTCATCCTAGCCTCAGGTTCTCAGTCCCCTAAGTCGAGTATTTACACAACCTTTTGTGTAAATCATTTTGATTACCTGCCAGAGCCTTTACAGTTTCTTTGAAGTAGTTCACAGTGATATCCTGAATGGAGCACACAGCACTCTCAGCTCGCTTAGTCCATTCTTCAGCATCTTTCTGCAAAGCTGCCACTCTTCTAGGCCCCAACTTATCATACTGCAAAGACTTCTGCAAGGGCACAAAATTCCCGGTTACCGCCTGGTTTCCACAGAGGTGCAGCTGCACAGTAATATACTTGGGGACGTTTCAAGCAAGGCAGAGCATGGTGGGAAACATAAGCTTCCCCTCACCTGTCACAGTGTGAATCACTGTCCATGCCTATGTATTGCCTTGTTTCTCATTCTCTAGTCTAACTCATAACCTTTGTTTCCCAATCATCACCCCACATTTATTTCTTAAAATATTTTTTAAACTGTCATCTTAAAAATCACATCCACCGTGAGTGTTTTTAGTTGTTACTAAAAGTAACTCAAACCCACTCTTCTATGTGCAATGTTCCCTTCTATTTTTCCCCACGTGTTGACAGCACATTGCACTGTCAGGTTCTCCAGTTTGGCAGTTCTTTCACACAGGAACAGGGATACAGAAAAGAAACATAGGAGAGTATTTTCAAGTCCACAAAGTGTACACAGGTAGAAGACTAGTATTCAAATACTTTTTTAAAACAACTATGTTTCAAATGAGTCTAAATATCCCTTAGAGGTTTTTTTAATACAGAACAAATTTTGTTTCATTTGTTCCAATTTTCACTTTAATTTTCAGAACAGGACACTGGATAGTTCACTGTTACAGATTTAGACCTTCAGTATCCAAGCACCTTAGTCTAAACTTAAAACTGTTCTGCTCTTTTTGAGAACATCAACAGCTCATTTTAATTTTAACACACTATTTAAGGAAAAATCAAACAGTAAATGGCTGCCATTTCCAGGGGCATCATAACTTTCAGAATGTGTTTCCAGTTTAAGATGCACATAAAACTAAATGAATGCACTGACAACTGACATGTTCTTAATCTGTACTTGTAGCAGGCTGTAGCAGCAATAGAAAACTTTTTTGAGTGGGAAGGTCTCCTCTGTCTTCTGGTCTACCAGCACAACTGAATTAACCAGGTGCATCAGCATTGTTGAGGGAGGACATTATCACAGTCATAAACTAATCCCACTGAAGGTGGCACAACAAAGGCTACTTAGATCTCTGTAAATTCAGCCTCCCAGAGAGCAAATCCCAGGAAGGTGGAGCTTGGGAATATTTTCCTTTTAACTGGGACACTGGTGGGAAGACAGCTGCAGTTTTAGTCAAGCCACTACCAGGGACTCAGAAATCCTCTGAGAGCGGCTCAGCCCTAACTCTGAATTTCTCAGTCATGTCTGAGGGCTTGGCAGGGGCAAAAAAAAGTAGGTACAGACCAAAGTAAGGAATGTTACGTGATGTGAGTTTAAACTGCTCCAAGAGCAGTTGGTGCCCTCCTATACAGGTTGGCCTTTCACTCTGTAAAGGCAGACTTACCAGGATTTCCAGTTTGTACAGTGTCGCCAGCTCTCGCATATCTCTGAAGGGCTGCAGTAAATACTGGTAGAATTGTGTTGCCATGGTGACCAAATCCTGATAAGCTTCATCTTCTTTTTCATAAACCTTCATCAAAGCCACCATTGTGTCAGCACTTTTATGCTGCTGCAGAACCTAGTGGGATGAAAGGTAAATCAGACACAGCTGCTTTGCATTCGCGTGTGCTGGATGCTGAGGGGCTACTGGGGGAACGACCTGTAGTTCCACAGCCAAGACTTCCCACTGTATAGGAGGTGTATGCCAGGCATTCTGTGGCCACCCCAGCTGAAAATATCTTTGGCACCACCCTGTTAAAGGCACTAATTGTTGCATATTGCATTAGGAGACTGCAAGGAACATCATGCCTAGGGCTTGCACCACAGAAATTCTAATAACTGTGTGCAGATGACTTTGTTGCTGCTTTTTATAAACATAACTGGGAATCTTGGGAAGTTAGTGTACTGCGAGGACAAGCAAGACATTCTTAAACTAGCTCTTGCATTGCTTCCACAATTACTAAATGCCTGCTAATGAATTTCTGGATCCAGAATTTCTGACCTCAGGCACAGAAAAATCATATTGACATTTAAAAATAAGAATTCAAAAATATATTTCTACACCAGATAACCCTGCAGTTAAATTCCTTTAACTGCTGTACAACTTATAATAGTTTATTCTAACTTCAGTTCTAATGATATTACATTTTGTAATTCATAATTCTTTCATGGAACTGCTGCCTTCCTAATACACTAGACCCTATTTAAAGTCTTTACTTGCTTCTATGACAAAATACAGAGTTGGGGATTTCCCTTTAATTGCATTTGTTTATTGGCACCAATCAAAGCTTCAAAGATTTTTTCTTTGACAGCAGCTGGCAGAGACTATGGCATGCTCCACATGCCAGGATAGAGTGTGCTGGCTGAGAGAACACAGTGAAGTACCACTGAGAAACACAGACCTTCCTGGAAGGACAGTGTGTGCTCTGCAGCTCCAGGAAGAGGGAAGGGGATGGGAGGGAGGGGTGTGCTACAACAATGAGGAAAAGCATTAAAAAACTAAGCTTGATTGTGTTGCAACTGAAAACCACTGAAACTAAACCATCACCTTTGCTCTTGCCAGCTGAGTCTGGGTTAAGACAGCAGGAGCAGAATTCCCATGCATTTCCTCAGGGCAAGTCTGTGGAAGTCAGCTCAAGGGCATTTCCCACCCATCCTGCCTGCAGGCCTGGCACAGGCAAGACAGGGGAACAGGAGGATCTGAACTGCAGTATTACTGATAATCCCAGATGTTAAGCAGCCCCTTAGGGCTCCCCAGGAGCTTGTGGTAGCTCAGACACAGTTCAAAGGCCCACCTGCAGCAATTCCACAGTCTGCTTTTGCCCCACTACTAAGGCCAAACACAAACTTAACAGTTAACTTTCTGGTTCCCATACTAAAAGCAAGTAGTGAGGGTCACACTGCTCCTGGAGAATGTTTAGAGTGAGTACAATGGACGTGTTAATGACATTTTAAAGTCAACTCATGAGACAATTATTCATTTACAAGGGTTTTGGCTTTTTTTGTTTGGGTGTTCTTTGTTTTTCTTTTGAAGGGGTGGTATAGTATATCTATCATTTGGCCTGTTTTAAGGTAAAATCCCTGCTTTTACACAGTCTCATACTCTTTTCATAGAATTCCAGTTCACCATCAGCCCAACTGACTTCTTTGGTTGCAACAGTAATGTTCTTGTGGTTTTTTTCCTTGAACACACAATACAAGAAGTATTTACACCACACTACTCTCCTCCATCCTGTACCAGTATCTTTTATATTCTCTAAAATTAATTTCCAGGCCCAAAGGATGAAGTATTTGAGAAGGACATGGATACAAAGAGGGGAGAAGGATACTCTGGTACCTAAGGCTGGGTTAGTGGCTATTTCTTGAATCTTGCATAACTTGGTCTAGAATGAAGTATAATGAACTTATGTCCCTGGTAGGCCTGCAAATACAACACTACAGCATCTTTAGCCACATCTAAAATGTAGCTGGAAATAGTAAAATAACTGGCACCAAGTTGTACTTGACCCTCAAGCCACAAACTGCTACACAGCTGCACATGTTTGTGCTGCTTGCAAAAGAGTGTGGTGGCTGGAATGTGTGTGTAGCTGGGCTGTGAACTGTTATAGTCAGACACTGACTTTTGTATACAACACAGTACACGTTCATGTAAACTAAAGATGTCTTTTTAAAAACAGTGTCTTTCTGAAACAGGAATGTTGTTACAGCTGTTAAACACTGTAATAGGAAACAGAAGGCTAAAGTCAATTGTCTTAACTTTCCTCCAAAGCATGATCACTTTCGTAAAATACCTTTCAGCTTACTTTGCCAGAAAACAGACTGGAAACAGGTACTACAAGGAAACTGTAGCAGCAACACACTGGTGAGCTTGAACTTATCTGTAACTCTTGTTTTAACATTCTGCAACTGTGTTACCAGACACCATCCTTTGAATTCCTGCTTACAACAAGGGGGGAAAAAATCCAGGAATACATCTATAACAAGAAGAAACTTAAGGTACTAAATGAAGAAAGGGCTAACATCATCATTATTTCATCAATCATTAGGGCAGAATTTGACACTTTTAAAAAAATAACGCAATTTTTCTGACTACAATACACTTATTTGGCATAGAACTAGGGCAAAGTTTGGTTTTAATAAATAAACCTGACTTAGAAAATTAGCACATGATTGTACTCTCCTCTTCGGTTACTCTTCCATACATTGCACAACACTGCTGGATGCTTTTAGCAATGTGTTTTCGTAGGAGTGCTTACAGCTTAAGCAAACGCCCCAGTGTTCTTATATTGACTGCCCACCTGGAGCCGACTTATTCCCCACTTAATAAAGCTGCACTTACAAGGCTGACGACACTTAGTACTTGAGAAAGTTGACTTGGTGGCTCCCAGGCAAATAAAAAAAGTGTTGTGTAAGCCAAATCTGGACATTGGACAACACTACGAGCAAGACGGCATCAGCGGCTCGGTCGCCCTTGCTCACAGGACCCTTGCAAAAGAGTTTGCCCCGAGCGACTGAAGTTGCCGCAGCAGCGGCTGCCACGCTCACCGTGCACCTCCCAGGCGAGCGAGGGTGAGCTGCAGCACCAAACAGCAAACGTGCGCCTACAGCGTGGGGACCTGTAGGGAGCCCAGGGGGGGCCCGGCAGCACCCTCATCCCGCACCTCTGGGGGACAGTCCCGAGCCCCGGTCCCTCCGCCCCGCCCGGCCCCGGGGCCCGTACCCGCCGCAGGGCCTCCTTGGCCCGGGCCAGGTGACCGCGCAGAGCCCTCCCGCGCAGCTCCTGGAGGCTCTCGAAGTACTCATCGTCGCAGCGGCGGTCGGCGGCGAACAGCGCGTCCAGCACCACGCGGCCGCCGCAGAGCTCCAGGGCCCAGCCCAGGTACAGCTCCAGCGCCCGGCACAGCTCCTGCAGCTCGGCCTCGCCCGGCGCGGCGCCGCCGGGGAACAGCACGGCCCAGAGCCCGCCCGCGGCCGCGCCGGGCAGCGCGGAGGGCAGCGCGGGGAAGGCGGGCTCGAGGCGCGGGCACAGGGCCGACAGCTGCCGGTGGACGCCGCGCAGGGCCGGCGCCGAGAACAGCCCGGCCCAGCTCTGCGGGGCCTGCGCCGCCGCCTCCGCCCGGCCGTGGCAGGTCACGGCGAACGCGCCCTCCGCGCCGTTCCAGCCCACGAGGAAGCGGAGGCGCGGCGGCGGCTGGGGCTCGGCGAAGGCGGTGTCGCGCACGGCCACCCACCCGTCGAGGCTGTCAGGCTGCGGCTCCATCGCGACAGCGGCGACAGCGCCCGGGCGGGCCCGGAGCGAAACAGAAACCGGCCGCGGGCGGGGCGGGGCCGCGCGTCGCGTCAGCGGCGGCTCGCGCGCCCATTGGCGGGCGGGGCAGGGGGCGGGGCCGTGACGCCTGAGGGGCGGGGCCGGGGCGGCCTCCACAGCGAGAGTGGAAAATAGACAGGAAAAGGAGCGGGAGGGGCGGCTCTGGGACAGGTCGTTCTTTGTAGAATCGTGGAATGGTTTGCGTTGGAACGGGAGCTTGAAGATCGCCTCCTTCCAACCCCCATGCCGTGGGCAACCTTCAGCTAGATGCGGTCGCTCGGAGCCCCATCCAACCTGACCACCTCCAGGGGTGGGGCATTCAATACTTCACTGGGCAACCTGTGCCAGCACCTCACAACCTTCACCCTCAGTAAAGAATCTCTTCCTAGTATCTGATCTAAGCCTACTCTCAATTTGAAGCCATTCCCCCTTGTCTTCTGCGATTCTGTTAGGACAAGAGGGCACACTCTTAAGCTGTGCCAGGGGAGGTTTAGGTTAGACATTAGGAAGAATTTCTTTAGAGAGAGTAATTGGACATTGGAATGGGCTGCCCAGGGAGGTGGAAGAGTCACCATCCCTGGAGGTATTTAAGAGACTGGATGTGGCACTTGGTGCCATGGTCTAGTTAACAAGGTGTTGCTAGGTCATAGGTTGGACTCAATGAACTCAGAGGTCTTTTCCAACCTGATTGATTCTGTGATTCTTGTCCTGTCACTACAGGGTCTTGTAAATAGTCTTGCCCTATCGTTCCTGTAAGTTCTCCCTTCAAGTACTGAAAGGGAAAATTTTTGTGAAATAAGCAGCTACTTCTGCGAGGAGCAGCAGGCAGGAAGCAGGGGACACACAGTCTTTTGGGAAGGAGCAGCATCCTCGGGTTTGTGCCGCTGCCTGAGGGAGAGCCCCGGCTGCAGGTGGTTCTCCTCCCACCCAGGATTCCTGTAGTCACTGAGAAACATGAGTCCTTGTCGTGTCTGAAGGCAGGTGAAATGCCACACTCCTTCCTCACAATGCCCTGTGCCCATTTCAACTCAGCCCTGAGGTTGCCACACTTTGTATAAATACCACCCAAACACCGACTCAGGGGCCGCTGAGGAGAGCAGTGTTTATATGTTGCCTCTCCCTTATTCAGGCCCTGTGTGCAAGGCTGCATGCAATTCATGGCGCACAGAATGTTATGTTCCAGTCTTTGGCAGCGAAGCTGACACTGCTAATTTTTCAATAAATTAAAGCCTGCAAGATAGTGTAGTGTAATACAAAGAAAAAATAAGTTCTAATTTGAAAAATTAATAAGATGTCAGACAGCATAAATGTTAACATTTCAGCAGAGGCTGCATCATTTATGTGAAAACATCTCTGCTCTGATCTTACAGATGATGAAGGTGCTGTTAGTGGTAATGAGATCGTGTCTACATGGGCAATTAACTTGTGATTCCTTATCAAACAGCAAACAATGGCACTGCTAGGAATGTGAGAAAATGACACCAAGTTTAATTGGAAAAGGAGGAAAAAGGAGAGCTGTGACAAGATTGTTTCCCCTTGTGCTGTCTCCTGAGCCCAAGACACATATAATGCAATGTTCTCAAATGCGCTTAAAAGCCTCCTGCCAGCAAGGCTGGCTTGGTAGCATGTTCACAAGCAACAGACTGTGTGGGTTTGAGCAGACACACAAAGCTCAAGTGCTACAGCAATCAATAATCAGTGCTAATACACAGCCTGGTTTTTATCGTATGGACCTCTAATCAGTGTAGACTGGAGGGATATGTTCCTGTGAAAACCCACTGACCACTTTCTTCACTATAATTAGCTTTCCAGAGGTCTGGCATACACATAGGGTGGGGATGTATGTGTATGTATAACAAGCATATGCAACAGTATGATTTCTATTTTTTTCCTAAATTCTGAATTTCAATATTTCTTTCTAATATATGATCATGATTCCAACTCAATCCCATAGTAAAGCTTCTGCTAACTTAATAGAGAGGACTTTGCCAGTAAGTGTTTGCAGAGAACAGAACAGACACTTCCATGTAGTTGTGCAGCAATGCTGTAAGCATGTGTCCAGCCACGTGAGTTAGTTTGTGCTGGATGCAGGTTCTGTGTATCCCATACATGATAGTCTGCCTAACAGCCCAGCCTTGGAAATCACACCCAGAGGCAATGACTGCACTCTGCAGGGTTTATTAATACCACCTCCGAAAGTGAGAGGGTGCTCTGGCTTTAGTGAGGGCTCTCTATAACCATTCTAAGTACTTCAGATCCAGGAATCAACCTTCAGAGCCTTTTCTTGGTGTATGACATTCATCCTGGTGACACTCAAGTAGCACACTGCTGAAGGACAGCCGGGGCACATCTATATTTGTGCCATTGCTCATTGCTGGCATGTCCCTATCGGAGCAAAGAGGCAGGCTAGGGTTACTGCAATGCATCTTCCAACTGCAGTCATAGGAAAGTGGCGAGGAATTGCTTTCGTGTGAATTAATTTTTACTAGGGGAAATAGAAGTGAACTTTGATGCCATCTGAGCTATCAGAAGAATTTATGACGTCTTAAGATAGAAGGCAAGTTTTTAGGTAGTAACATTCTTTGTTATATATTTACGATAATTGACGGTCACGGACTTAAACATGCTTCGTGTAATTGTATCTGTGCCTGTAAACTGAGCAAACACTGAGCAATCATCTGAAAATCTTATTTAGGCAGCAGGGTTCCAGACAAACTTAATTATGCTCATTTTAATTTATTTTGTTTTATTTTGGTAGGAAAAATACATGTTAATTCACTTTTCTAATTAGTAGTAGCTTCTAAAGCAAGTCTTACTGTTATAATTATGGTGGGAAAAGCCTTTGCGGGAGCCAGACAACATTTTCTGGTATGTGTCAAGACCTTTTCTCTGTTTAACATGTTAGAATTTGCATGATTTATTTTATTGCCTTTAGCATAAATGGTATTTCTGCCTAACTTCTGTGTTTTTGTCTGTAGTAGGATATTGCTATAGCTGTAGAATCCACACTTTGTCTGCAGTGCCAGAATATAAACAGTGAACTTCTATGTGGGTTTTCTTACACATCCGTAAGGCTGGACTGAGTCAGGAATATAAAAACAGAGAGTGCAAAGTTTCTCAGTATTTTTCACTAGTTCAAGAAGTTGTTTTCTAGTAATGATAAAAAGTGTTGATAAAAAGTTTCTGACTGTGTTGACTTTGTTAGCTAAGTAATCCTCAGTAAAATACTGATGAAATAAATTTGAGGTAATAGCAACTACTCAAAACTACAAAGACCATAAAAAGTAGTTTGAAAGCAAACTTGTGTGAAAGCTTATCCAAAAGCTGATGACACTGGTGTCTGACTGATCTTTTGACTTTTATTTTTCAGCAAAAAAGTGATTTTAAAGCTTTCATATGCTTCACTTATCTAGGACTAGATGTAACTACAGGTTCATTAATATTCAGCTGAAATCTTTCCATGAACTCTTCTGCTTGTGGTAGTAAGCTGCTGATAAAACTGATCTGAGTAGTTTTGTAGCCATGATTTCATTCATGCTGGTGAGCAGTGGAAAGCTGTGGGAAGGTTTCAGCTCTGACAGAGCTGACTCTATACTGGCATTATTTCATTGCTGTTGTTAATACAGGCTGGTTGGAAAGAGTGGGCTTGGAGAGTCAGCATTAAAATTGCCTTTGCACCTTTAATGTTGTCCCACGTGCATCTGGGATATGCTTTATCATACAGCTTTGCATGTCACCTCCACGTGCTCTTTTCACACACCCCTCATTGCACAGAATGGACAAAATGTGCAAGGTCCGTGTCAGAGCAGACACTTCTCAGCTCACAGGTCAATGACCTGCCTTCCTCCCTAGTTATTGTGTGCTTTATAATGGAGACCATCATTGATATTTTTTCCAAGCTTCTTTTATGTTAAAATATATCTTTTTCACAGCACCTGAGAACTGTGAACACCCCCAGAAGGCACTATGTTTTCCCTGCAGTATTTTAAAGAAAGGACCCAAGACCTGGACTCAAGTTTCAGTATTAAGAATAGTAACTTGAAAAATCCAGAACAGGATTTTTCAAGGCATTTTCTAGTGTGTTATGTGGCATCACTGGTCACAAGAGAGGACGTTCTACATTATGCCTGACTGACAGTTCAGAAAACACTCTTGACAGCAGCTGAAGGGTGAGCAGACTTCAAACCAGGCCATTTCCAATTGCACAGAACAGCACTAACTGTGCCTGAAGCACAGCTGTAGTGTTGAGCTCGGGACAGGGCTAGTCCATAGTTTGGAAATCAGGCATGAGGGTAACAGATGAGCCACTCAGAAAACAGGATGCACACCAGAGACAGCTCTTTGCTGTGCTTTGCACAGAGGTGAGAAAAAAATAAGCCTCCCATGGCTTCCCCTCAGAAGCTTCACTCAGGAAGTGAAGACCACTGGCTGTGGTCTTTCCTATGCCTACCTCCAGGACCTGGGCAGTCCTCAGCCAAATCTATTCCATCTACATATTTTTAAGCAAGAAAAACTCATGCTTTATATCTAAGTATGTAGCTAAAGATCTTTCTTATCTTTTACAAGATTGAGACTCGACATCTCAAAAGCCTTGCTGAGGATACCAATGTCATCCAGATCTGGCAGCACAAGAGAGTATGAAACTAGTAGCCAGTCACGTGGCCATTCAGCTTCCCCACCAGTCCCAGAGTCTAGTGAGACTGAGTCTGAAGGTTTGATATTTTATCACATGGATCTTTATGGATCAAAGGAGAGGTTTGATATCTTTCCTGAAGAGCTGTCTGGTCGAGAAGACAGATCTCTGGGGGATACAAGAAGAGAATCTGTATTGAGTAGTGAAAAAGTTCAGTGCTCACAAGAAATTGGCTACGACATGGAAAAGGAGGTTGCAGAGCTGGCTAAGATGTATGGACTTGATGAGGATAAAGAAAAAGAGCTTGAGCTTCTTGGAGGACGTGTGGAGATGGAGAGCAGATGGCCACCTGC